GGGGGGGGGGGGGGGGAGTATCCTGTTTCTAAATGATAATTTGTATGATTGAAAATTTCGAAAACACAGGTTTAATTTTGGCAGAAAGTCGTATTCTTAGGTTAAAATCTTATTTTAATTTTTGTTTCTAGTTATCGAACGAGGATGACAGCGAGGCTTTGAGCCTGGTAGAATCCGCCCCGAGAATAAGTATTCACACCTTGGACACGCCTTCCGCCTGCACCCACGAGGTTGCTGTCCCACCCCAATGTAATTTCACAGGATTGGCTGACCATGGTCGGGAGCCGGCTAAAACTTATCCATTTACACTTGATCCCTTCCAGTCTCAATCCATCCTGTGTATAGAAAATGATCAATCTGTTCTTGTTTCCGCTCACACCTCGGCGGGTAAAACCGTCGTGGCGGAATACGCCATTGCATTGTCGTTGAAGAACAAGCAGAGAGTTATTTATACAACGCCGATTAAGGCGTTGAGTAATCAGAAGTATCGAGAGTTTAATGAAGAGTTTTCCGATGTTGGATTAATGACTGGAGATGTGACGATAAATCCTAGCGCTTCGTGCCTCATCATGACTACAGAGATTCTCAGGTCCATGTTGTACAGAGGAAGTGAGATTATGAGAGAGGTGGGTTGGGTCATCTTCGACGAAATTCACTACATGAGGGACAAGGAGAGAGGGGTGGTGTGGGAGGAGACGATAATTCTTCTGCCAGATAACGTTCACTATGTGTTCCTCTCCGCCACCATTCCGAATGCGCGACAGTTTGCCGAGTGGATTGCGCATTTACATCATCAGCCGTGTCACGTGGTATACACAGATTTCAGGTTCGTAGATTTTCTGGCATATTGTTCTTTCACATATGTTTTTGTTTATTGTTAATTAGTCTATTTTTATTTGTGTTTAGACCAACTCCCCTTCAACACTACGTATTTCCGGCCGGCGGCGATGGAATCCACCTTGTTGTCGACGAGAAAGGTCAATTTAGGGAGGACAACTTTACCACCGCCATGTCTGTCCTCCAGAACGGAGGAGACGCGGCGAAGGGCGATCAGAAAGGACGAAAAGGCGGAATGAAGGATGGATCCAATGCTTTCAAAATCGTTAAAATGATCATGGAGCGTAATTTCGCCCCTGTGATTGTGTTTTCCTTCAGTAAGAAGGAGTGCGAGGCCTACGCTCTCCAGATGGCGAAGTTGGACTTCAACACGAACGAGGAGAAGAAGCTGGTGGACGAGGTCTTCAACAATGCCATGATGGTTCTATCTCCTGAGGACAGATTACTCCCGCAAGTTGAGAACGTTCTCCCGCTTCTCAAACGCGGGATCGGAATCCATCATGGCGGACTTCTCCCGATCCTTAAGGAAACCATCGAGATCCTCTTCGGCGAAGGATTGATCAAGGCTCTGTTTGCCACGGAAACATTCGCCATGGGATTGAACATGCCGGCACGAACCGTTCTGTTCACCGGAGCGCAGAAGTTTGACGGGAAAGATTTCCGGTTTGTATCTTCAGGAGAGTATATCCAGATGTCTGGAAGAGCAGGGAGAAGAGGTTTGGATGACAAGGGTATTGTTATTCTCATGGTTGATGAGAAGATACCTCCGGCGACTGGTAGAGAGATACTCAAAGGTATGGCGAGATACAATCCTTGAGGGGGGGGGGGAAACATGGGG